ATTGAAGTGAAAGATATTGTGTTTATTACGAATATAGCAACAACATATAAAATGCATGTAAAATACTTAATCGCAGTATCATATCAGTCTTTAATGAAACTTGCATAAAATGGGGAATTCGTTTCACTCTCGCGTGGTCGTGTGTGACGTCACGAGGCGCGGTGTGATTTTCGCTTCCGCGTCTCGTATACACGAGTTTGTCGTTACTTGGAAATCTTTTATACAACAAAAACAGACTATCATTATTGTTTTGGCTGTGTATTCTTTAATATATTGTAATGTAATTGTCATCTTTGATAATAGCTTATGTAAGCCGAAAGATTAGATAGGATTAAAAAATATGTATCAATATTGTGATTTTCTTTCTTCGTTTAATGATAATGTTATTAAGCTTATCAGACGATATGAAAAGAATTTACATAAAATAAATAAAACTTGTCTATATTATTTAATGAAACATGCATCAAATATATATATATATATATATATATATATATATATATATGAATGTTATGATCCTTGTTTTTAATAACTACAAGCTGTATAAGGTCTTTTTTTAATCTGCTAGTACTTTCAGCTGTGCATACTGTCATCCAAAAACTATTAAAAACAAGAACCATAACATTCATCGAGTGGTTCGTAGGATAATGCAACTTTAAAATTTTGTTTGCGAAGAGTTTTCGCCATTTTATATCATTAACTTTACTAATCTACTTTTTGTATGAATGATTCATTGTAATATAAAATGAAATATGAAATAACATGAAATGCACACATATTTGATATATATATATATATATATATATATATATATATATATATATATATATATATATATATAATTATTTATTCGAAAATTGTAACATAAATATGTTATAAAATCACTACAAAAATATCCATTTTGTTTCAACACTTCTGGTGTCTTATCAAAGTAATTTGTAGTGATTTTATAACATATTTATGTTACAATTTTCGAATGAATAATTATATTTGCTCTACTCTGTATTGAGCACTCTTTTAAGAATAGTATTTATCGGTTATTGGAATTTATTCCCTATACACCAATCCTATACTTGGATATATATATAATTCTAATCAGTTAATGTACATGAAACTTGGCTCTAAATTCTTAGTAGGACAACCAGTCCAGGAAAGGGGAAACTCTGCATTTAACTCCCCTCCATTCTGTTAGCATGTCGTAGGCTAGCAACTTAGGGTAAAACCCATTATTCCCTATCTCTGACAGACCTTGTGTCCTGTTCAAGACGGAAAACATATCTCATATATACGCGCGTGTTCCTGTTTTAAGATATTATTTTCTCAGTTCTTTTAAATCATTTTACATTAATGACAAATATTTATAAAAGAAAAAAAACTAATACAAAAAATGGAAAAAATAGAAGACGACGACTAAAGAATAAAAAAATCGTTATTGATTATTGGAAAATTTGAGAAACCAATTCTTCTATCTTGCGCATGCGTCTATATGCAAGCGTCACGTGGTCAGTCTGATTTCCTCGGTAGTTTTGTCCCATCAAACTACAAATGATCACGTGTTCTCATAATAGCCGAGGCAGACGACACTGCTTCCCACTGACGCACAAAAATGTATATGCGCCTGAATAAGGGGAGTGGATGAAAAATATAAAAAAGAAAATTTCTTTTTGAAAAATATGATGAATGTATATTTTAAAGAAAACAAAGGTTATAAATCTTGGCCCGCTGTGTATGACAAAAGATTTGATATATGACAGCAATCGCCATCTTGCTGTGTGAACGCCATACTAACACGTCCTCCGCTGATAGACGAGTGTAGTTCCCCCAGAGTTTACAAGGTAGTAACATGCACATCTGGCAAGGAGTTTGACGTTCGGCTGTGCAAAAGTTAGGGACTACATTTGAGTTTATCACGGTATTCTGAAGGACATTTTTTTACTGTTTTATTTTATTTTATGTTGGATTAGAATCGGCCATTTTCATTTTCTTCATTCTTTTCTTTTCTGTTTTATTCTTTCTATTTCGATCTTATCGCCATAGCAGATATCTCTATTTTCTTCTTCAAATGTTTCTTTTCTCTCCTTTTTCTTGTTTTTATCGCTTTCTTTGCTTTTGTTCTTTTCTAACTTGCTTGCTTGATTTGTTTAAACGATTACTTGCTTCCATTTTGCCGCCTTTTCTTTCTCTCTCTCTCTCTCTCAGACTTCTTTCATTGCTGACTACATGTTTACCTTTTCTTTCTTCTTTCTAGCTTTATTGTTTTTTTTCTTTCTTTTTTATCTTGGCAGGCTTTACCATTTTTGTCCTCTTTCTTTTTTCGTTTTTGGTTAGTGTTTTACCTGTTCTTTTTCCTTTTCTTTCTCAGTTTCTATTTTTATGTATGCTTATTTTCTTCTTTAACTTCTATTTTGCTTCAGGCTTTGTTTCCTTTTTCATTCTTTCACTCCTTTTTCATTTTACCATCTTTCTTGACTACTTTCTTATTTCCTTTCTTTCTCTCACTCTTTTTCCTTGTCCTTTCTTTCTTTCAGTTTTTCTTTTTCCTTTCCTTCTTTCAATCTTTTTAATTTTCTTTTCCTTTCTTTCTTTCTTTGTCTTTTGTTTTCCTTTCTTTCTTTCTTTCACTCTTTTTCCTTTTCTTTTCTTTCTTTCACTCATTTTTTCTTTTCCTTTCTTTCTTTCACTCTTTTCCCTTTCTTTTCTTTTCCTTTTTCTTTCTTTTTCCTTTTTCTTTCTTTCTTTCTTTCTTTCTTTCTTTTTTCGATTTAATTTCTTCCTTGCCTTCTCTCTTGTTTGCTTTCCCTCCTTTCTTTCACTCTTTTTCTTTCCTGTCTTTCTTTTTCTCTTTTTTCTTTTTCTTTCTTTCTTTCACTCTTTTTCCCTTTCTTTCTTCCTTCATTTCTTTCTTTCTTTTTCTTTTCTTTTTTCTTTCTTTTCCTTTCTTTCTTTCTTTCTTTCTTTCTTTCTTATTTTTTTCGATTTTCTTTCTTCCTTGCCTTCTCTCTTGTTTCTTTTTCTTTCTTTCTTTCACTCTTTTTCTTTTTCCTTTTGTTTGTTGGCTACATTTTCCTTTTCTTACGTTTCTTTTTACTTGCTGGCTTTCTCATTTGCTTTTTTCTCTTTTATCTTTAATTAACTCATCTTTTCTTTTCTTTTTTCTTTCTTTTTCTGTGTTCTTCATTCGTTACTTTCTTTCTTTGTTTTGCTTTTCATCTTTTTCCTTTTTTAACTTGCTTTTTTATTTCTTTCTTATTTCCTATTTTCTTGCTTATTTTTTCATAGTTATTGTCTTTTTCTTTCTTTTTTCACTACTTTCTTTTCACGTTTTTTTTTTCTTTTCTATTTCGTTTCGTTTATTTCTTTTTGTCTTCAGCGCATCCTTCAGCTTTTCTCTTTCTTTTCTCGTTTGCATTCATTCTTTTTTTTATTATTTTGCTTACTTTCTGTTTACTTTTTTCATGATTACAATATTTTTCTTTCTTTCTATCTTTCTCTCCTTTTCTTTTTTCTTCTTGAATTGTTTCCTTTTTTCTCATTTTCATTCCATTGTTTCTTTTTTTTCTCATTCCGTTTTAATTCGTTTCTTTCGCTTTTTTATTGATTTTTGCTTGTTTTTCTATTTTTCTGCGGTTTGTCATTTATTCTTTTTTTTAAACTTCTTTCATGATTTATTCGTTCTTCTCTTACTTTCGTTTTTCTTTTGCTTTTCTTCATTTTTTCTTTCTTGCTTGAACGATTGCTTTCTTTTATTATTGTTGTTCTCGTTCATTCTTTTCCAATTCCACTTTTCTTGCTAATTTTTTATTTCATTTTATTTCTTTCTTCATTCTTTTTCTTTCTTTCTTTCTTTCTTCCTTCATTCGTTCTTTCTTTCTTTTTTCTTTCTTCATTCATTCTTTCTTTTTTCTTTCTTCATTTCTTTCTTCATTTTCGCCGTCGTTTTCTTTCTTTCTTTCTTTCTTTCTTACTTTTTCTTAGCTGACGTCCACATTACGTTGAAATACCGGTTCCTGTACGATCGTCTGAGTTAAGCAGCTTCGAATCTGGTCATTACTAGATGGGTGATCGTTTGGGAATACCAAGTGCTTTAAGCCTGATTTTGCGGGTGTTTTCATGGATAATGGCCGGAATTTTAAATTGGAGAACCGAGTTCGGATCCGTTCCATTCACTTACGTGAAATTTACCCTTGGTAAAGGCATGAATCCACCACTTTCCCCCAAGCTCTTGGTTAATTAGTAAGACGTGTATCACTAAACAATTATTATATCTCAAAATAAAATAAAGTTGCATGAAACCTATTTAGATTTCGTCATTAAATAACCCATAGAGGTGTTGATATGCCGCTAAGCAAAAACAACCAATCAACTAAATAATTTCTATCTTTCTCCTTGCTTGCTTGCTTTCATTATTTTTTATATCGTTGTCGCATTTCATTCAATCTTCTTTTTGTTTCCTTCTTTCTTTCTTTGTTGGTGTCATTTCCTTTCTTTCTTTCTTTCTTTCTTTCTTTTCTTCTTCTATATGCGTGTCCCTTCAGACCGTTGGTGATCATGACTCCTCACAACTTCCAGTCCTTTGTATCTCTTAGCAGTGTTTGTCTATTTGTTATCATTCCTAATCCCGTTTCTGCCAATCAAACAAGCTCGTTAAGTAGGTTTTCTCTCCTTTCATCTTGCTTTCAACATGTCCTGTGAGTGTTAAATTTTCCAAGCCTTCTTTCCTCATTATGTGCCCCGCAAATTTCGACTCTCTCATTCTGATTCTTAATACAAGTGTACATTTTGTTTCCTTTTCCTCAGAAACTTTGTCGTTGCTCACATGTTCAGCCCATGGTATTCTCAACATCCTCCTGTAGAACCACATTTCAGTTGCTTTATGCCTCTTCTTCATCTGTGAGGAGATTTCCAGCATTCACTAGTATATAATAGGGCTGATGCCACGTAACACTTCAGTACGCTTTTCCTTGTTTGCAATGACATTTTCCTGTTTCTTAATACTTTGCTTAGGTTTTGAAAGGCATGATTTGGTAGTCACTGTTTAGATAGATAGATAGATAGATAGATAGATAGATAGATAGATAGATAGATAGATCGTGAAATGACTGAGCTTGATAGATAGATAGATAGATAGATAGATAGATAGATAGATAGATAGATAGATAGATAGATAGATAGATCGTGAAATGACTGATATATATATATATATATATATATGAACAGTTACATGCCCGTAAATAGACCCAGCTTAATGACCCATAGATATTTTCTTTAACCCAAGCAATATTCACTATAATCTTCTTCATTGCCAAGGCATTTAAGTAGTTAATGGAAATAACACGCATCAAATATTATACAGTGAAAATTTCAAATATAAAACCAATAACGTATCTAGATGAGTATTTCTACAACATTTCTTTGCAACATAGTGTGTTTATGCCATATTTGCTCTAGTTGACCTTTTTTTCTTAACAACCCTCTGAGAATTTAACTAGGAAGACTTTGCTTGTTGGTATTGCAGAATTCTTCCACTCGACCTGAAATCCTGAATGTTGAATGCGGGTTTTCAAAACAGGCCTACTTCTTATGGAAGACTGGCGCAACACTATCTTTCTACACACTTATTCTTTCAATTTGGTTTTGTTCTGAACTAATCTGAATTAGATAAACAAGGCTTTTGCGCATATGAGCTCTTACAAGATTTATTCATTCCTCTTCGAGCAAATGACAGACACAAATACAATGTTTTACGGCTAAGTCCACGGCGAAGGTGGCTTTCCCGCCGTCTAAAGTGTGTTATCTGAAGATCTGCAGAGACGGCAGTCGGCCACTGGTTGGTCGATGGACAAACGGAAGGTGACGGAACGCTCTAGTGTCTTACAGACAATGGATTCAAAGTCTGTAATGGTCGAACGAATATCCAGGGATTTGGGGAAATTGCATAATGTTCAACCGCTTATTTGGAATGCCCGACGGGGTGAAAGTGGTTTTGAATGGAGGCTGGCTTTGCGCGGATAAGGGAGAGTGTTTGGGGATTAAAAAGAAGAAAAGAAAGAAGGAAAATGGAAAGGAAAAGAAAGAAAGAATGAAAGAAAGCAAGAAAAATAAGATAGAAAAATGCAAAGAAACGAAGGAAATGGAAAGGAAAAGAAAGAAGAAGTTAGAAAAATGAAAAGAAACAAAGGAAAGGAAAAGAAAGAAAGAAAGAAAGAAAGAAAGAAAGAAAGAAAGAAAGAAAGAAAGGAAGTTAGAAAAATGAAAAGAAACGAAGGAAAAGAAAGGAAGAAAAGTAAAAGGAGAGTGACAGAAAGAAAGAAAGAAAGATAGAAGAAAAGAAAGAAAGAAAGAAAGAAAGATAGAAGAAAAGAAAGAAAGAAAGAAAGAAAGTGAAGTTAGAAAAATGAAAAGAAACAAAGGAAATAGAAAGATAAAAATTGAAAGGAAATAATAAATGAAAAAGAACGGAAAGAAAAAAGAAGAAAGGTAAACGGAAAGAAAAGGAAAGAAAGAAAGAATAAAAGAAAGATGAGGACGGAAAAGAAAAATGAATAGATAAATTGGACAACTGAAGGAAGGAAGGAAGGAAGGAAGGAAGGAAGGAAGGAAAAGGAAAGGAAAGGAAAGAAAAGAATCAAGAAAAGAAGGAAATGGAAAAGCAAAAAAGATCGGGAAAGAAAAAGAAAGAAAGAGAAAGAAGGAAGGGAATGAGAGGAAAAAAGAAATGGAAGAATTGGACAAGGAAGGAAGGAAGGAAGGAAGGAAGGAAGGAAGGAAGGAAGGAATCTATTTTATATTATTTTTTTGCGAGAAAATGGACGCAGATGTGGTCTGCATTTCTATTAGATTTTTTGTTGAAGGAAGGAAGGAAAAGGAAAAAAAGGAATCAAGAAATAAAGGTAGGAAATGGAAAAGTAAAAGAAAAGTAGAAAAAGAAAGAAGGGAAGGAGTGGGAGGAAAAACAAATGGATGAATTGAACAAAAGAAGGAAGGAAAGGAAATAAGAGGAAATAGAAAAGAAAAAGAAGGAAAGATGAAGGAAAGGTTTGAGAAAAAAGATAAATAATGGATGAATAGAACGAGTAAAAAGGAGGGAGGGAGGGAGGGAGGAAATGAAAAAATATGAGGAAGGAAAAGAAAAGAGAACGATGGAAAGAGAGAAAGGGGGAGAAGAAGGAAAGGGGGAGAAGAAGGAAAGGGGAGAAGAAGGAAAGGAGGAAGAAGGAAAGGGGAGAAGAAGGAAAAGGGGGAGAAGAAGGAAGGGGGGAGAAGAAGGAAAGGGAGGGGAAGAAGGAAAGGGGAGAAGAAGGAAAGGGGGAAAAGAAGGAAAGGGGGAGAAGAAGGAAAGGGAGGGAAGAAGGAAAGGGGGAGAAGAAGGAAAGGGAGGGAAGAAGGAAAGGGGGAGAAGAAGGAAAGGGAGGGAAGAAGGACAAAAGAAAATGAAAGAATCAAAGAAAGAAAAGAGGTGAAGAAATATAAAGAAAAAGAAAAGGAGAAAATGAGAGAAAA